TATATATATATATAAAACCGTAATTCTTCTTTGAGTATAAACTTTTTAATAAAATCTCCAAAACAGCAATAATTCATATTTAAATCTTTTTATTTCTTTTAAATACGTTTTATTTTGACACAAAACCAAAGACACCTTTTCTTTTTCGAGAATCAACCCCTCTTCGAAAGATGGGTGAGTTTTCGAATTTTGGCCGTCGTCTACAATTACGGCAATGATTTTGTTGCGGCTATGGAAGGGATAATGTGAAGTGGGGAAGGGAGGAGAGTACATCGGATTAGTACTAAGGAAGGTGTTAAATACACAGTGTTGATCCTATTCAATCCATCCTAATACCTCCGCTACTTCCAGATCCAAGTAAAGTAAGTTGCCGCTGCAATGAGGGGGTGGGGATGCAATGATTTTACCTCCCCGCCTCCTTCAGGGATGGTACAAGGGGATAATTTTTCACTTTTCACTTATAAATAAATCTATTTGAGAGGAAAAGAATTATAGATACAGAAGCATTCTTTTTTTTTACACTCAAAGATAGAATGTAATTAATTATTTTTACTTAAGGTTCAGACTAGTTTTGACAACTTTTTTTGTAAATGTTAATATAAAGTTTTTAAAAACTAGTTTGTTTTATTATGTGCAAAAACTAGGTCTAGCAAAAAACATTATTATTAGCAAAAGCATTATTATAAATAGATCTAGCAAAAAAACATTATTATTTTCTTTTCATGTGGAAATTTTTAAGTAAATATTGGGCATTTTTTTGCATAAACGCTAAACACGGTAAGAAAAAATTCTATTTTGCCTATCAAAACAAACCTTTGAGGATTTTATTAGAAGGCTATGTTTTGAACTATTGTCTTAAAAGTGCATATATTACTGAGTTAGGGATCAATGTAACTAAAAAAGCAAATTTGTAAAAATTTTCGCCATTGTTTTTGCGAAAAAGCATGCATAAAAAATGAAATAGTCTGTAGTTTAAAACATGTGTGCTTTGTACTGATATACTCATGAAAAATTGTAAACAATTGTTTGAGAAACGACAGCACGAGATATCATGTTTAAGGTGGTATAAAATGTGAAAAAATCTGATTTTGAGAAAAACGCGTTTAAAGATTTAGATCATTAGTCTATTTACTGTTATCACCTTGCACAAAAATTGCTGTAACTTGGTAAATAATAGAATGAGCGAAACTAAAGTATTTTTTGCAAGCTAAAAGTACAGGAATTCTAAATTTATAATTATCTCAATTTCGAACATTTTGCCTCAAATAATGTTTTTGCTCTAGTTATATCCTTAAACTGTTAAAAAGGTTTGAGCGTGCTGAACAAGAATAACTTTAAATTTGCTGCGACATTGCTATGATTGAAGGCTGAACCCTATTTCTGTAATTCTTAATTTTAATTGCTTAATAATATGATTTGAGTTGATCCATAATATCGTTCCCCTTTGCTTCAGCTTGGGTTGAACCATATTACCGTGCATCTTAATTTTGATTGTTTAATAATGTGATTTTCGTTGAACCATAATATAGTTTAAATATGCTGCAAACTAGGTTGAACCATAGTATACTTGCTCCTTAATGTAATTTGAGTTGAACCATAATATTCAAAATGGCTGCAATTTTAATATGAATCTAGGTTGAACTATACTATCATACTTCTTAATATTGATTTCCAAATAATATGATGTTTAATGAACCATAATATCGTTCAAATTTGCTGCAAAATTAATATAAGTCCAGGTTGAACCATATTATCGAATTTCTTATCTTGATTGCATGATGATAAAGTTTAACTTGAAAATATGGTTCAAATTTGCAGCTTTTTAAAGTCTCCAAAAATTTGCGCATCATTATGATTCAAGGTACGAATATTATGGTTCCACTTTGCACCAATTTCTCAAAAACAGAATTTGATTAACCATTAATCAAACATCAGGACTATACGTGTGCGTACTTTTATTTTCTTATAAAAGCACAAACATGAACTTTTATTTATACTTGGCTGTTTATAAACTTTATTTTCCTATTGTAATTTCATGATTACTTTACGGTAAAAAAATATACTGATTAATATTATAAGAAAATATCAAAATGTATCATTGCCTTTGCTTTGGAATACTTTCTTCTTTAGATTTCTTTTAAATATTTTTGTTAAATTTAGAAAAAAAGTAAAAAATGAATGTTTTTTTGATGTTTTACTTATGACCTTAAAATTAAACATTTTAAAAAAGAAAAAAATATTTTGAAAGATTTTAATCACGATCTTTCACAATTTACTTGATTTTTAAGATACTAAAAGTAATAAGTCTGACGATTTTAATCGTGATTTTTTAAAAATATTCTAACGCTTTAGAAAACGAAAATAAATGTCTCGCATAGCTCTGCTAAGGATTTTTCAAAATTCGCTAACACTTTTGATTACAAAAACTAACACCTCTAATTGCTTATTAATGATCTTTGAAAATTTGCAAATAGTTTTCAATATAAAAATAAATTGTTTTACTCCATTCCTTTAAAATTTTCTAAAACAGAACGATAAGTAGAAAATAAAAAACTACCAGTCATTTACAGACGAGTGCAAACTTCCTTCAAGAAAAATATTAGAAAATTAGTAAGAACTTACCGAGATACTTCTTTGCAGAAAATATGTAGTGCAGCTCAATTGTTTTAGCTTTTGAATTTTATACGACACAATTACGAATTTAATGTTGAGTAAAAATGATATCAAATCTAAAGCATTCAAATAAAAATACTTAAAATAAATTTAATAAGAACTCAATTCTCTGGTTAAAATGATGAAACTTTATTTTACAAACTGTAGACTGTTTCATTTTAGTCACTTATAAGTTCAAACTTGTTAAATAACGAACCAACCTGAAAATAACCAACAATATGAAAAATCATTTAAAGAAAAATTATAAAAAATAGCAGCTTGCAAAAAAAAAAAAAAAAAAAAAAAAAAAAAAAAAAAAAAAAAAAAAAANAAAAAAAAAAAAAAAAAAAAAAAAAAAAAAAGGAAAACAAAAACCGAATTATTTTTAAACGATTTTGAAATTAGTAGTTGCAAAATTTATCACCAGATAGCCATGAGGTGGATTGAACAATGGCTTTTTTTTGTTGCGTGTCAGCTCTATTCTAACTGCCATATTTTCATGGGCGTATCTTGATTTTGTCCTCAGATTATACAGCATTGTTGTTGAAAATAATGATCATTTTGTAACAGTTTGTTTTACATTGTTTGACATTGTTTCACAGTGTTTCTCAGTTAGCAGTGCCATATGTCGGAGAAATTGGTTACTAATTTAGAAACTTGAATATAAATATTCAGTTTCTTATGTAACTCGGCAAACTCTACTTTTCTAACTCTCTTCTAAGGTCTTTTAAAATATCCACGGTTATTTTTTAAGGAAAGATGCGCGTTTGCTTATAATTTGCTTGCTGTGGGCAGGAAAATTTTGTACCGAAATTTTAGTCCAGCTAAAACCGTAATGTACGTCCAAAATAAAGCAATATGCTTTTATTTTATATTTGTTCAAAACTTATAGTGTTCATCAAAAGCGCTTGTTTTAGAGATAAAAAAATATATTAGAATTTTAGCGGTCTATTTTATTGTCGAAAAGAAGGGTGACAATTTATTACCCACCTCCCCGAAATGTACAAAGTACGTTATTGTAACGGTTTTTGTAACAAATAAATAACCTTAGTTTGACCTTTTAAATCAATGAAAAAAAATGACCATTTAAAAAATCATATCATTAGATAAAAAGTATTATTTATTGGAAATCAATCCATATATTACAGGCAATTTATACAACAGCTGGAATATGAGTTAAATGAATGCATGAGCAACAAGAACACGCAACAATTAAAATACGTGAACAATAAACGAGAGCAGTGAAAATTACGGATAACAAAATTAAAGTGAACTGCAGTAAAAGGTGTCGACAAATGAAGACGCGAAAGCCCCACAAAGAATTCATTACTCTTCCGACATCCCAATGTAACTTAAGAATATCGCCTGACATTGAGATTCTTTATCGAGTCCTGGGCGTGATAGTAAGTCATTTAACCTGATCTGCAGATTTGACATTCACTTGTTGGAAGGATGCCAATGCTGTTTAGATGCTCTGCTGAAAAATCATAACTAGTCCATTATTAGCAACAGATTCCATACGGGATGTATGGCTGTAGTTTTTCCCACTCTTTTGTATCTTTTCCCAGCGTTTTCCTTTGGATAGTAATTCTTGCTCTGTTCTTGTATATTGTATTAATTTTTTTTTTGGTAAATGTGCTTTGTCTCTAAAGAGTGGCTAGATGAAAAGTGAATCAAGTTTTCTTGCATTTGCAGTGCAATCCATATAATTTTATCCTATAGGTGTGGTTTCAGAACAGACGAGCAAAGTGGAGAAAAGCAGAGAGACTTCGAAAAGAGAGGGAGGAGAAACACCGTCCCCTGATGGAGATGGAGAAAGATGCCGATAAACTCATCCCAGGATCGGACACTCATACCACCCTCATCAGTCCCCGTCCTTCTGATTCGGAGGATAGTGGAGGAGAGGGACAGAAAGACCTCTCAGGAGTGTGTGATGAAGGAGACTGCGGATGGAGATGTTCGGATCAAAGTGAAGAGAACGCAAATAAGGAGGTGAGTTGTTGGATATTCAAAATGATATTTTTCGTTGCCGTGAATTATTTAAAGGTTTCCAATGACCTACATATACTTTTTTGAAAAAGATTACGAATCCGAAATGTGCTTTTTATAATCCTTACTGAATAAAAGTTTAGTTAAAATAAATATGCATAAAATAATAATAAATAGAGAAATGCACTGATATGAGCGCTGAAATTTGGTTGAGAGTTCAAATTATATTGTTGTCTTGTGNAATTACGAATTCAATGACGTCATCATTACACGTCGTGAAATTATTAACTTCAATTTTACTTGCGATCATCTTATGCATGAAATCAAAGATAAGCAATTCATAAGAACGTGCGTTTAAAACGAATTTTTGATTGATTGCAAGCTAGCAAATCGCCTTAATATTTATAATATCTTATACTCAGCTCATTGCTTGAGTTGTAACACGCGAAATGATGGTCATAGGTAGCTTTACATTATATATATATATATATATATATATATATTTGTTATTCAGTATGAGCTTTCATTATAGCTTGAATCATAAAAAAATAAAGATATCTAAAATCTAACACAATTTCGTTAAATACATTAATAAATGAAACAAAATTTTAGTAATTCTACCTTTAGTAGAACTGTAATTTTAATTTCCATTGTCAAACTTGCAGAAGTATCGGGGAGTTTCCTTATAGAATTGCTTAGTTCTACGTAGGTATGCATAAATTTTGTCTTTTAATAAACATAAATTATTATGTAAATATGTATAGAAATTATAGGGTATAACAAAACTAACGCTCACAATTGTAGGGAGAGATAAAATTTTTCAAATCAGAAAACTTTCATCATGCATTAAAGTCGAAAAGCGAAGGATTAATTTGGAACAAAATTTGATTATTTTATTTTAAATTAAAAATTTCGATTCTCTATACCGGCAAAAATTTTTATAAACACTATTTGTTTCGATAATTTATTCCATCTACTGTTATTAAAATTTTTTAACTGCATTATTTTTTATTATTTAAAATAGTTTTACTAAAAGAAACCTTGCATAATATTATGGATTATTGATTGGCTATCGATGCAATAACAGGTTTGAAAATTTATTAAATCGTTAAAGAAAAATTCTCAGAACCTTAATTCCAATTCTAATTAATACCAATTCTAATTCTCAGAACCTTAGAGATTCTTCCACAACTGAAGACCTTTGGGGAACCATTGTCTCAACCTACAACTCTTTTATTTTTTAAATTTTATTTTATTTTGAAAGTATTAAATTTGCTCTGATTGCGAAATTTGCTATTTTTATCTTAGTTTGTGTTACTACAGTTTGCATTATGGTTGAATTATCTGAAAATAAAATACTTTTTTTCTTCATAAATATGTTTTTTTTAAAATTCGACATTTTATGCTTATCTTTCATTAAAAATACTAATATTTGGGTGTTTTTACTTACAATGGTTAGCAATTGTGCATAAATTTTATCTTTCCTTAAAAACTTTTTTTCTTTTGGTTGGGGTTAGAAGAAGCACCTTTTATCCTTTGATCCATTCCTTTCACACAAACGTTTCAGTTCTATTTAAAAGTTGCATCTGAAAGCAAGAACTAAAATTTAAGCTCAAATTTGGGTTTATACAACTATTCTTAGAAATTTCGGAACGGGAAACGTCTCAGTTATAGAATAATCACAATTTAATTAACGTAGACGCTCAGGCATGGAGTGTAAATATTAGATCCTTTTAGAAAATTAGTTTTATTAGTTTTAGAAAAGTGCTCCGGATTCGAGCGGCAGAGAGCTACAAACTAAAATTTGTATATTTTTGGTAAATTTTATCAACTTTTCAAGAGGTTTAACATGACTTAACTGTAACAAAGTGGCGGGACACATAAGCTTTGAATTATTCAGAAGTAATGGTGAGTACAAATCCTATAAGTTGAATTTACTAAGCCAATAATCATACATTAAAAGACTACCACTCGAAGATATTTATCCACTGTCCAAAGCAAGATGGCACATCTGAACAAATGGCATCTTTTTAAAGGGTGAAATCAGAGAAATTAAAAATTTTGTCTTGTATTATCTCCAGAGATCTTAGCTTTCATGCCATTGCAAGTTTGACACAAAAATTGTTTTATAAAATATCTATTTTAGTTCTGTGATTTTTTGCCCTTTTTTTCAAACAAAAGTCAAATGTTTGAAACAGAATCTTAACAATCAAGTTTATTTAATGTCGTGGAATTTTTGCAAGCATATTTTAAATTTTTTTTTTTTTTTGACAGGCATGTCAAGATGACAAAAAACTTATCCTAAATGGCACGCAGCAAGAGCAGCCAATACCCAAGACTGATGCAGTCAATCGAATGAGCGGTAAACTCGAAGAAACGGAAGCTTTGAAATTATGTTCCTCATTGCAAGTAGGATTTACGCCAACTGCTGCAAATCTATACAAAGACTGCCACAATTGTAGGGAGAGANTGTATATGGTAATTTTTGTATATTTTAATTCCAAATATGGTAATTGATATGTTACATTTGATACAACCATAATTACATTTACGCTAAGTTATCTATTAGCGTGATTTAATAAATCCTTGCTAAAAAATTTATAGACACGTCAACTTGCCAAAATTTAATAAACTCAATCTATTTTCCATGAATTTTAATGAATTATTCATGGATTTTTCATGAATAAACTCATCCAACATGAATCTTTCAGAGAGTGAGTGTTTTTTATTCAATGCAAAATGTTAATGTAATGTATGTTAACGTAATGTATGTTAATGTAAAATGTTAATGTAAATGTTTATGTTAGTGTAAAAAATCACGATGAAAAAGTGATTAGCTTTGCGAATAAGTGATTGGACGAAGAATGTACCTGGAAAAATAATTCAATCTCATTCTTGTTAATCACAACTTATGATAAAAATAAAACGTAAGAAACTTGCGATGGATTCTTCAGAAATTTTCTATCAATTATATAAAACATTCAGTGCTAGAAACTTGAAATTTTACTTTCTTCTTCAGCAATCAATAAAATATTTACACATTAAAAAATTTCAGAAAATTATTTTGGCTCGACAAAAATGTTTCCGAAAATCTCAGAAAACTTTATTTAATGTCATGTTTCCGATCAACTGAGAAACATTTCTTTTATTTTCAGAAGTAGGGAACAGAATTACATTGACGCCGATTTAGTTTCAGAGTGTACTGTAGCCACCACTACAACTGTTAAATTCAAATTCACTAGTATATAAGACATGTTAGCTCTTATCAGGACGTACCTTTTGATAGATGATGGCTAACATTTGTTGGAAGCCTAGCACCACACGGGTGACTTGCGAATGTGATCTGAACACGTCTGCCACGACCAACATGCCTACTTTGACTGACATGCCCACTTCGAAACATGCTTAATTTACTGTAAGCGGTTGATATTTGTTTCTGACTGCGACATTGTCCTCCTCACGCTGTTGCTACTCAATCTTGATCACACACAACGGGGGCCTGAACACAATCGACTGCTAAATGCAGCACAGGAGTAACCACGCTTACAACCATGATCCTAATACAGTTCTCCCGGTCTCTCCCAAAACAGCACTGATTCAACTAGGAGCATCCATTTATCGAATTCTATCGCAAATAAAATTCTGTTGGGAAAGTAATGCAGAGTAGCTACCACAAAAACTATTAAATTCCAATTCACTAGTTTATAAGACATGTTAACTCTCTCCTATCTCTAGATACCTTTTGATAGGTGATGGTTGACATTGATAGCCTAGCCCCACAAGAGGTTTCTGAAATATTAAGAAACGCTTTGGAAAACTACATTCACCATATGTATATATTCAGAAACGTTTCGGGATTTTAATACAGTGTAGCAGTTTGCATTTTTAATTTATACATTTTTAATTACTTTGCTTTGACTAAACAACTTTTATATATATTTATTACAAACATAACTTAATGTCAGTATTTCAAGTTTTCATTTGTAATATTTTTCTAGCCAACCGAACAACCGCCAACACTGCATCGAAGCTCTACTGTCCTCAACAGCACATGACCTACCAAGGTTTCCTTTCCCACCTCTTTGTTTTCCAACATCACCTCATTTGACATCCCCTCTACCTATTGTTGGTAATAATTCATCAACGGCATTTTTTCCTATCAAAGGTAAGTATTATCTATTGCAGTCTAGATATTTATCTATTTCAACCGATACTAGTAGTGGCAAATAAAAATTAAATATTCATCATTGGCATGACAGCCAAGAGTGGGTTTCGAATTCTCTAGAACATTCTTTTTCCGTAGAGTTCTCCTTGTGGCCAATAAGTACCAGTTCAATTCTCATATTGTTTTAAAAATTTATGTTGGAAGAATCCAGCCATCATCTAGCTAGTTGGACTACCAATTGGTTTATGTTCGAAAATTTTAAGTGCTGGGTTAGAAGCGAAAATTAGTTTCTCCTTCTTTTTTATAACGTGATCTCTTACAAGACTTGGACTTTTTGCTGAAACTTATCTTTTACTGAAAAATGTTCTTCTATCGTCACCGAAAACTTTTCCGTACACGTCTTATAAAAGTGATGTGCCTAACGATTTATACTTTAGGTGAGACAAAAGTAGAATTAGTTTCTTCTTTTTACTGCAATTGAAAAAGGATTTTAAGATTTATTTTATTTTGCTTGAGCCAAAGTCTCTTTAAAAATCAACTTAAAAAACCAAAATATTTACAGTTATCTAAATGTATAATTTCATAATAATTTACATTAAATGTACATTTTTGTAATAATTTATATTAAATGTATAATTTTACGATAATTTATATTAAATGTATAATTTTATAATAATTTAATTCATAAATATGCATAATTCCATTATAAGTGTATAATGTATAACATAATTTAGTTTCAGTTATCGAAATGTATCAGAGATTAAATTACAGAACTCAGTTTTTTCACAACATTTTTATTAATTTCACTATTTATAAAAATAAGCATAATTTTTAGCTTCAAAACATAAGTATTACTTAAAAAACTTTTAAAAGATTATAGTTTTTATTTCCTTCGAAGCAAGTGATTTTCTTTAAAGCTATTTAAAGCTAAATGCTATTTTCAAATAATTTTTCTTTTTCATTAGAAACTTTTTTTTCTAGTTTCAATTGGTTAGCATGTAATATACATAAATTTGAAAATTTATCTATATTTCTAACTTTTTTGTTCAATTTTTTTCATAATTTAGAAAAAGTAAATTTCAAACATAGCTATTTTAGAGATTATATTTGAATTTCGAGATCAGGATTTTAACTTTCGCTTATCGAAAGATATCTCAGAATGAATAAAATCTATTTGTTTGACATGTTTGTCAATCACGCGATTTATGGATTAAAAGAGTTTAAGAAAAAAATTCCAGTTTTGTGATTTTACGTTATTTATTCCAATACAAAACGTTATTAAAAACTTTTTCACGCAATTATGTGATTTGGTTTTACATTGTAAAGCATTATCTTAATCGTTATTATAATTTGCTTTAAATTTTCTTCTTTCCTTAAAATATTTTCAATTATAATTAGTGTTTGAAATTAAACATTTCAAATTTTATTTTCAATTCAATTTTAGTTGCTTTCAATTCAGTTTTTTCGTATTAAATTCCATTGGTTTCATTGTCGGATCAATTTCAGTTGTTTTTAATTCTTATTTATTTCTGTTATTTTAAATTTTTAATAATATTTGATGTATGAATGAGGTTACTTTGTATTTTATAGTTCCTCTTTGTGCCTGTAGTTTTGGGCGTCACTTATCTCCGTGTCCAGGAGCCACCAACCGATCAGGTCCGTCCATCCAGGCCGTGTCCGGCATGAATCCGGGAGACCTAACAGAAATGAGGAGAAAAATCCGGGAGCATTATCAGCCGTCTTTGCTCCGCCCAATTGCTACTTCCTCCCCTCCTCCGTCCTCTGGAAGGCAGGATCTTACTTCCACCCCCAGAACAGATATAACGTGATTACCAATATAAAATTGAGAAAAAAGTTTAGCTTCAATTCTGGCATTATGCTTCGAAAACTTTCAGTGCAATCAGTTAAAAAAAAAAAAAAAAATTGTGACAGATTATCTCAAGTCAGGTTACTACATTTTGAAAACAAATAAGTAGAAATAAATAAGAATGTCGAAACTTCTACTTTTAAAATAAATTTAAAATTGAAACAACGTTTGTACATAAATATAAATATTGTTGTAGACATTATTTTCATAACTTTATGTCTTAGAAGGATTTACAAAATTAAAAACAAAATCATTTTTAGTAAATTATGTTTATTTCGTTAGAAAATCATCATATATACATATGCTTTTAAGGATATAAAGAGAAGATAAGTAATTCAGATTCTATATCTGAACCAATAAGAATTTTTAAAAAATATATACTGCTAGGGAACTATCAATAGTAAGTAGAAAGGCAAATTTTTCAAAAGAAATTGAATTTTTTTTTAATTATTTCTATTTTACACAAAATTAATGAAATTAGCGAATTATAATTCTGAAAATAGAATACAGTCAAAGGTAACTCCTACAGTATAAATTTCAAAAATTTAGTTTTCAAAAAAAGTTTCCTTCATAAATTTAAAAACTCTTGAAGGAGAATTATTAGTTCTAAACGGAGTTTTAAGGATAGAACTCTTTAAAACTCTTTTGCTGTTTCGTTTCATTCAAAATGATCTGAGCTTACTAGAGATTCTTATCACTTTATGTTTAGACTAATTTTGCAGGAAATAAATTCATTGATTTGATTTAACATGTTTGGTGGATTTTGTCGGTTGAAAGTGTAGAATTATATTTAATGCATCTTAAAAAAATAATCTTAAAAATTAAAAATTATTGTCTAGTGTGCATTTTTTTCTTATTTAAATAAATATGCATACAAATTACTAGTGATATCGCATTAGATTAAATAGTTCGTGATGTAATCAAACATAAATTTAAATAAGAATGGTGACTGAAATTAGTTTTTAAAAATAACTTTCATTAAATAAGCAATATATTTTTCAAGGTTGTTACATTGATTGCACATTATTTAAGCATTTTTATTTTTTTAGTTTTCCAATAAAGCGTTTATTTTATTAATAAAACCAAATATAAAATATTATTTTTTAATTAGGCTAATTCTTTTAATGTTGATTAAAATTTGGCATTGAATAGTTTTTTTTCAGAAATTTCTTTTCCGTCGATTATTTGCTCAAGTAACAAACTGAACACTGACGAATATTTAGAATAACCAACCTTTTGTCTGACTCAAAAGCCAAAATAAACTCTCCATTTAATTAAAGTAGGATTTATATGATAGTGATGCATTTTACTAAAATTGCATTAATAATTAGGAATACTTTTTAAAAGTAGAATAAAAATAAGATTGCATTAAATTTTCTTTTTAAGGAAAATGTTATCACAAATATTAGTTACATAAAATTTGTTTATTTTTAATTATTTATTTGTTTATTATTATTACAACTTCTTTAACCAATGATGTGGACA